AAATAACCTGTGAGAGGGTTAGACTCCTCCTGGAGCCCCCAAATCACACCATTTGTCTCATTTGTTGAAGCCTTCCCCTTCCACTGTTTTGGGAGATTTTGGGCCTCATCAGTCTGCAATAACTAAGGGATCTTAGCAGCCCAGAGAATGTGATGCACAGAACAGCAGGAGAGAAAGGGGAAGGTGTGGAGTGGGTGAGCCAAGCAAGGCAGGCCTGCTCCTGTCCTGAGCTGGGTGAGGACACCGATGGTCAGTAGAGGGAGACTGTGGCGGCGGCCCAGCTCCCGTGACCCAGTGCACACAGCGAGTAGGGCGCACTCACTGCTGCTGTGGTGAGGACTCAGCGCTGAGGATGACACCTGACCACAGCCAGGCGTGTCCATGAGGAAGAAAGGGCACACACGAGCGCTGTGCTGCTGCCACCCCACCCTTGGGCAGCACATTTGTTCTGCCTGATGTTCCCTGAGTAGACCAAGGGGTGAGGCAGCAGTAGAGCTGCTGGGGCCTGGGGAGCAGCTATCCCTGAACCATGTGTCCCATGGCATTGATGCTGATGTGGGGGAACAAAACTCCCAACCTAGAAGGTGCTGTGACGAGTTTGTGTTCTCTAAAACCAGAGAATGAATTTTAGGAAAAAAATGGAGGTTAAAAGCAGAATATTTACTGGGGAAAGAAAGCTTATGTCTGAGAGAGGGACAGAAGAGGGGTCCAAGCGGGTCGTGTCCAGGAAGCTATCTCTTTCAGGGACATTTATATAGTAAAAGTGAGGTGAGTCTAAGGTGGGGAACATGGGAACTCGCTTAGGTGGGCGTGAGGTGGGACAAAACTATGGTCAACCAATGAGATTACAAGAACCATTGCTCAGATAAAATCCAGGACCAAATGGTGAAGCGAGTCATGTAGCAAGCAGCCATGAATACAGGACAGGGTCTCTTCCTGTTAGGGATTGGGTTAGTGACTCTTTGGGGCCTCTTTAAAGGTGACTGATACCTATTTAGAATATCAATCTCTGATGCCCATCCCTAGGGAAGTATGTGGTTGCATTTGTTTACTCTTTTGTCTTGAAGTCTGGCCCAAAGCAGGAGTGTCTGTCTCTTCCAAAGATGCAAACTTACCTTGTCTTCCATATTGTCCTTGACAGCCTAGCCCTGTTTGTCTGCCTATAATATCTTTTTTGTAATTAATTTTATTGAGAAACAAATAGCAATGCGACAGTTTCAAAACTGATTAATAGGACAGTTTCAATAATTAATACATTGAATATTATCTTCGTAGTGGTTATTCATAGTACAAAATAGAGACATGATATCCTGTCAAAACACCATTAGTACAAATCTTTCTTCTCACTGAATTAAGAGAAAGTAGCTGTATATCTATCCTATTTTGAATATACAGATACAAAACGGTCCTTCATTTGTATCCCTTTTTGTTTAGTATTTTCTCTTGAAGTATTTGTCTTGGGTATTCCATTGCCATCTAAATATTGTAGGTGCATGAATTCAGCAAAATAATCCAGCATAGTCCAGTAGTCCATAACAGTAGTGGGTTGTCCACAGAATTGGCAATGTCAGAAGTTGTTGACCTGAACCTTTGACAGCTCAGCATATTAATATATGGTTTTACTTTTTACCTCGTTTTTATACTTTTCTGCTGGATGGTTAAGATCAAGATAAAGCAAGACCTATATGACAAAAAATGTAACTTTGTGTCGGACGAGGTCAGTCAAATCCCCTCAGGACTTACTCTGAAATCCTGTACCACAGTTTGTAGATCCTTTGTCAGTGTCAGTCATGTAGATAAGCCATGGCCATTGCCTGACCCATTTGCTCTCTGTGAAAGAGCCTGAGAGAATGTTTTCTCTCCATGTGACTCTCCTTAGGCACACTCTATATCACTGATCACTTTCCTCTGTGGCCCCATGATCTCCTTGATCAGAAAATTTGAGACAAAACTGAGTTACAGGATGTTACAGTACAGGTTCTCCTATGTCCTGAGTCCTCATTGACTTTGAAAGGGTAGGGCCAAAATGTTGTCTGTCCTTGCAGCCCTTCTTTTTCTCTAATTTTTGGTCTGTAAGCTTAAGTTGTTAACCCTCCAGAAGAGAAGTTTAATGATATTATTACCCTATAACATAGGCAGTTGAGCTTAACCTCACTATCTGTCTCAATATCAAACATCTTAGACACAACATGGACCAGGTATTTTCATCAAGTATTGATTTGTTAAACTATAATATCTATCTAACTTAGCCACTTACCACAATGCTACAGACTTGGTGCTGTGCTTCTTGCATGCTCCACAAACCACAGGTAACACTGTGCTTCACATTTTCTCTTTAATCCCTAGTCTTGGGGGCCTGCCCACTAGCTCAGTTGTTTTAAGTGCCTGCTTAAACAAAGCAGTCAGTCTCTGGGATCGGTGGTTCAATTCCCGCATACTGAAGGCAAAACCAGACCAGCGCTGGAGACAATCTGGAGCCGCAAAAACAAAAACAAAAACAAAAACAAAAACAAACAAAAAAACCCCTAGTCTTCCTGGTCTTGGTTTTGCCATTCACAGACTTTTCAAGAAGGTGGTCCCGGGCCAGGCTTGGTGTCTGTAATCCCAGCACTCTGAGATGATGCATGGGGAGGATTGCAAGTTTGAGCCCAGCATAGGCATCTAAATAATAGTGAGACCTTGTCTCAACATAAAAAATTTAAAAATAGGACCAGAATAAGGGCCCTGGGCTCCATCCCCACTACCGCATGCACATATGTACACATGTATAGCACACACAGTCCCATGACAGTGGGGAAATTCATGTAATGAAACAAAAATTGGGGCTTCTTTTTCTCCTTTCAAATTGACAATTATTTGGGAACTAAATCACTATAATTGTACCTCATTATAATTGTAATAATCACTATAGCTCTCCCAAATTCATTATTATTCATTACAATCCATCCAGAGTTATCACTTATAATGATCTTCCATATGCAATTGCCAACCCCACAGAGTTGGCAGTCTTGTAGGACAAATCAGCAAACTCTTCTTGAAGGGAATGTGTGTCAAAAGCCCTAAGAGATGTATGTAGGTTTTGATCCAGCAATTTAGCCTGATATTTTATGCTGAGGAAATAAGCATCGATGTACATAAAAAAGCAAGAAGCACACTGAGCAGAACAGTATTTATGAGAAAAAATTAGCAACCTGAGAAAAAGCAGACTGGAGATCTATATTAATATCATAAATTTCAAAATGAAACAAGAAACATGACACATGTAAAATTGTAAAGAAAAGGAAACTGTAAACACAGAATACGAAATGTAAAATAACCAAGGGGGCTGCAAGGAAGGACGAGCCACTGAGACCTGTCTCTTTTTTCTTTTCCTTTTCCTTTCTGGCATTGGGTCTTTTTGCACTCAGTACATCCCAACCCCTTTATTAAATTTTAAAACAGGATCTCACTAAGTCACCAAGTTGCCCAAGCTGGTCTTGAGATGTGATCTTCCCGCCTCAGCCTCTCAAGAGTGCTGGGGTCATGGGTGTATCACACCTGGGTTCATGCTGCTTTTCAGCAGGCTGCTTCGGTGTTCATGCTGACATCATACTTGGTCTGTGTGGACCAGTTATGTGGGTGTCTCAATAAATCCTCAATACCAACAGGAGAGGGCAATCTCCAGGTGACACAAGGAAGACCCCAGCTTCGGTCCACGGAGGGCTTTTAGGGGTGTTGCCAGTTTTGGATACAGGTGATTCAGAGGCAGAATAGTTTTTCTTCACAGTGACCACAGTCAAGTGATTCACCTGAGACACAACTCACCTGTGGCAACTGTGGCCTTCGATGGTGTCTGATCATGTAGGAACTGGCTTTTCATTTCCTTTAAAGATGTGTCTTGTGTGTTGCCCAAGCTGGCCCCCAAAACTGGGGCTCAAGTAGTTCTCCTGCCTCAGCCTCCCCAGTAGTTGGGACTATTAATGCCCACAGCCTGGCCCAACTTCAGCATGGGATTGTTAGGCGAAGGCCACCTGCTTAAGGAGACCAGATCCATGCCTCACTTAACCACCTAACCAACAGTGTTCCAGCTGTGAATCTGAAGCCTGTCTCCCAATGCCTTTCAGATAGTTTTCTTTGAGGCTTGACCAACAACACTGCCTGGCCTGTGACCCCCAAGCCAAACCCAGGACTCTGCACACCTTCCCCCGCTAGGCTGTGCACCCCCCAGCCATGCTCCACCCCACTCCCTCTCCAGCAGAAGGGTCCACACACGTGACCAAACTCGCCTTTATTCCGCATACATAGGAAACAGGACTCTTATCAAAAGAAAACAGAAACTGCAACACAACCCAGGAAGAGCATGCACAGATCCGCCCAAGCTCTCCTGCCCTGCAGGGTAGCACATGCAGTGAAGGAGACGTCAGGCACAGGACTCGGCCAGCTCCTCGGGGACGCTGCTTCTCACACAGACTACAAAATGTTGAGCCCTCCCTGGGTTCAGTCTCTTAAGATCATTTGCTATCAAAAAGATGAACAAAATTCAGCGTGGACTTCAGTGCTTGATTCGACTGAGCCTGGCCCACTACAGGGAAGCTCTTGTGTGCTTCTTTATTTAAAAAAGTAAAGGAGAAACTGACATTAAAAATGCAAAATAAATGTCCCAAGGAAGGAGCAGATGGGACTCCATGGTTGTAAACACCAGACGTTGTGCTTTGTGGTCTCAGCAAATCGGGGCAGGAGGGGACAGAGGTCAGATCAGCACCTCTGGCCAGGCAGCAGCGTCTGGCTCTCCTCCTCCAGTGCTCCCTGGGGGTCCCACAGGTCCTGTCCTGCAAGTCCATGTCCTACTCCCAGCAGAAAATGAGCAGTGGGCTTCTTGGCCTGAGGGGACAGAAAGCCCTCCAGGTCCACCAGCAGTGACAGTTTCTCAGGGCCACCCTGCAGCACTGCACAGAGCAATCTGAGCAGGTGTCTTGGCTCGGCTGCCCACAACACATGACATGGTCTGGGTCTGTGCTAGCTCTGCTGGGGCCAAGCCCCTTCCTCCCTCCAACTCCTGCCACTACCGTAGATCCTAGGGTAAATGGTCTGTGTCTCTTACACCTTCCTGGTAATGTGAATGGCATGGCCAGAGCCACCTTGTACCCAACCTCTTGTCTTCTCAGCAACCCCCAGCCTTCCTGCTACCTGCTACAGCCCCTGGATTGCAGGTGTGGTCACATGGCCTCCCACACTGGCTGTGTCCTCCCCCTATGTCCACCTGCACAGTCCTGGGGAAGGGCTTGGGAACCACTGGGCTGTGACCCCAGAAACACAGGACAGAGCCCACGCCAGAGAGCCCTGGGTGCAGTCCAGGTCTGGGTGAGGAGGGCTTGCTTATAGCGTTCAGGTAACGAGCTGGAGAAGCTGACGTGGCCCCCATCCTCATTTGCTATGGGGTCTCTGGTCTACACAGAGGAGGCCTGGCTACAGGATGTGGGTGGTGATGGAAGAGTGTCTTGGGGCTGTCCCCAAGTGTGACAATCAACTCAGTTGCTGCGGCTTTGCCTCACCTTGCCCCCCCCAGTCTCTCTCATGGTCACCCTGGGCACAGCCACCACGTCGCTGGAGAGCACTGACCACGTCGAAATGGAAGCAACAGAGACACAGTGTGGTTCAGACATCGTCCTCCACAGGAACAAGAGAGGGCGTTGTGCTTGCTCTGGAGAGAGGAGAGGAGCCTGCCCTCTGCCGCCCTGGCCGCGGAGTGGCCTACTTGTCCTTGACCACCTGCTCGTAGGGGGGTGGCGGAGTGCTGCAGAAGGAAGGAGGGGGCGGGTAGGCCACACAGGCCTGGGGAGAGTTGGGCTGCACCTGGAATGCCATCGCCATGTTCCCGACAGGATTCATGCCTGGTCCTCCAGGGTCTGTGTAGTATGGCGGCCCCAGCTGCTGGGCTCCTGGAAGGCAAGAGGGCAGCGTGTGAATACACATGGGCACGCCTGCAGCACCTGAGTGAAGCCCCTGCTTCGTAAGCATGCATCAAGGACCTGACACCCAACACTCTGGGAAGCTGAGGTAAGAGCACTACAAGTTTCAGCCCTGCCTGGGCAATTACAGAGACTACAGGGCCAGCCGGGGATGTAACTCAGTGTGAAGGTCCTGAGTTCAGTCTCCAGGACTGCAAGAAAAGACAAAGAAAAGGGGGACCCCGTGTGTCCAGAGAGATGGGAGGGACCAGCACATAAGCGAGTGGAGCAATGGCGAGCTCCAGCCTCAGGGCCTCGGTTACACCGTGGGGACAGACCACAAGGGGGAAGGTGGAGGTGGTACTCGGCGGAGGCACTGACCACGCTGATCTGAGACCTGGTGTCCATGCAGGGAGCTAGAGCAGCAGGTGCGAAGGCCAGAGCTGGGGGCATGATCTCCAGCAGAGGTGAGCAGCTGCAGCCAGGATGGCCACATGCTACCTGCACAACCCACAGGAGCTGGGAGGGCAAGCTGGCTCCCACCCGGGCATAGCCACCAGCCGGCTCCATCACCTCGGAGCATGACTGTGGACATCTGTGCTGCTAACCCAGCACCCTTCTGGCTAGGGAGCACGAGAGGCCCTGGCTGGCCCTGTGCTGTATCCATGAGCTGCCGGAGCACCTCTCTTGGGGTGGTGGTGAAGATGATGGAGCCACAGGCTGAGCACCCTGTCCCACACTGGCTCTCCAGTTTCCTCGGGTCTGGAGTTCGGTTGTATGGCTCACACTGTCTAAACCAGCACTCTGCTGCTGCCTTGGCTGGGCTGCTTCTGCAGCAGAGTCAGGTCCCGGAGAGGATCCTAAGCACCAGCGATGCCCCTTCCCACACCACCCCACCAGCAGTGGATCAGGAAGCGGCTTTGTTTTGCTCTGTTTCCCTCTGATTCTTCAGCTGAATAATGATCTCACTCCCAGAACTCAAGGTTTCCTGCAGCTCTCCGGTTAGATGCTGGGAACCTATAGCACCACGGGAGGGGCCCCATGACCCGGGGCACCTCAGCCCACCCCACCCACGTGGGCATGACCCACAGATGGTGCTACTGCTACTCTTTGCCTGTGGCCCTGTTGTGCCACCAGCCAGCCCACACATTTCTCGAGGACTGCGCCTAGGGCTTATTTATATCTGGATCCCTACTGTCTTATATAAGAAAAACTTATGAAGCTATTGAAACAGTACAGGCAGGGAAGGATTTGCATCTCTGAATATCAGGGAAGAAATAGAGAGTACTACAGGGTTCACAGGGAAATGTAGCTGAGCACTAAGTGGATGTGGATGCCCAGGGTGGAGCCAGGACCTCGGAAGACAAGGTCTGGTCTGCTCTCTGGAGGGGCGGTCAGCACAGCAGATGGGCAGAAGTTAGGGGTCCACCCTGGAAGTACGAAGGCCAAGGCCCTCGGACTTGAGACCAGTGTGGATGACATCACTGAGCAGCTGTGCAGAGGCCCAGGGTGGCAGCTGGGCAAAAGCTGCAGGAACAACTGTCCAGGCAGGAGAATGAAAGCATTTCAGGTAGATGAGGAAGACACAATGGTGGCTGGGAGCGGCGAAAAGAGGGAGCAAGGCTGTGTGCTGGTGTCCAGGCCTAAGGAGGCTGAGGAAGGGAAGAGGGCAGGCACTACGCAAGGACAGAGAGCAGCAGAGCAGCACTGTGGATCTGCACCACGGCACCTCGGGCTCCTGTGCTCCCCGCCAAGGTTTGAGGACAGCAGCAGCCACAGGCCCCTGAGACAGCAGGAGAGAAGCAACTCAGAGTAGACAAGGGGCAGGTGGTGACCAGTGGATGCAGAGCCAGGGACAGGAACAGACATGCTGGAGAGGGGAATTCGGGAGAGGAGTTCAGGATTTGCATGCCCCCACCTGGCCCACAGCCTGTGCCTGCAAGGCCCCAGCACATTGACCTGGGCAGCAAGAGTCTATATAGGGTCTGGCCAGAGAGAACCTGAGGTGTGGACCCCAAGGAGTCTAGGGTGTTGGAAGGGAGGAGCAGGGTTCTGGGAGCAGATGGTCTCCACTTGGAGTGGGACTGGGCACTCAGCTACTCATGCTGATGGCAACCTAGCAAAGGATAAACACAGGACTGGAACAGACAGATGCAAGGCCCTGAAGAAGGGAGAGTCACAGACAATAATTGATGAAATGGATGAGAGTCAGTGAGGAGGGACATTCTGCACCTGGGGGACACAGGAGCCAGGGGACACTGCCACCTTCTCTACAGGGTGTACTGGAGAGGGCAGCTTTAGCTCTTCAGATGTGGGGGGCAGGAAGCACACAGAGCCCTGTTCTAGGAACTCATGGTAGGGACTCTAGGCATCCCCTGGGAGACAGGATGCGGTGGGGTGGAGGACCAGGTGCAGCCTGTTCTGCATCAGTGTTGTGGAATACAATGTGGATGGGAAACCGGGTGTCTCCCAACAGAACAGCGAAGTGGAGGAGTCCAAGCAGAAGTGGATGGAGGGCCAGGAAAGATGCACCTCATCCTGAGCACCCTTGGGAATGGCTGTGACCAGACTCCCTCTGGGTTGGATATGTCCCTTGCTGTCCTCTGTCCCCAGGTGATGTGGGGCCTTTGGTTCCTTCATCCATGGTCCCTGTCCTCCTCTGTGATCTTTGCAGGATCATTTCGAGGGTTAGTGGAGACCGATGGGCATGCATCAGACTTTCTCCAACAATGCCATTCTGGGTGGCATCTTCAGCACCTGGCAGCCCTGCACCCTGGATGTGTGCGACCCCCTGCTTCAGCCACACTGGCCAAATGGTACAGGAAACGGGTCATCCAGGTGCTCTTGGATGCAGAGGGGTCCGGGGCAGAAGACAGGAGGAGCAGAGAGAGGCAGTGGCAGTGGTAGAGACACAGTCACTCCCCAGGGGCCCTCCAGTCTTTCTCCCAGCCTCGTGATGTCGCTCCCGGAGCTTGCGTGGTTGGCATCCCTGTTCCTGCTGCTGCTCCTCACGACCTCAAGGGGCTCCACATCCACCCTGGGTGTGTACTGTTCTCCACTCCCAGGGTGACACCAGCCCACTGTCGCTCACATGCTGGTCCCATTGTGCCCACAGTCGGACTTCTGACCCTCCAGGTCCAGCCCACGTCCTATCCGTCCCTCATAGATGATGGCCTGCACTGGCCTCATCGCCAGGCCCCTGAGCTCGCGACTGCACACTGGCTCACAGCCCCTGTCCCCAGGGACCTGGCCCCATCTGTCCACCGGCACCCAGCCTCACCCAGCCTCTCATCTGGCTACACCCCTCTCCTGGAGTCTCAGCTGCCCATCACCCTTTCTTAGCGGCGCAAGGTTTCCGGGGCCATGGTTCCCAGGTGACACATGTGTGTTGGCCACACCCTCACAACGTGAGGCAATTTCAAAATTATTTTGATTATTATGTGTGTACTAGGATTGAGGCCAGGGTCTTCAAAATTAAACTACATCCCCAGCCTAATTGCTATTTTTTATTTGAAATAGGGTATCCTGAAGAGGCTAAATTGCCCAAGCTGGGATTGAATTTGTGATCTCTTGCCCCAGCCTCCCAGAGTGCTGGAATTGCTGACTTGTGCCACTTTGTTCAGCTTAGTGTGATTTTTTTTTTTTTTTTTTTTTAGCTTTTTGCATATGAGGAGAGGATAGGATTCATCTCGGTGTCCTTCAGGACCAAAACAGCACATAACACCTGGCAGATATGCTCTGAATATGGACAAGAAATGGGTACAGGAGGATGGATGGTGATTTGGATTTCACTCTGTCTCTGCCACACTATGGGGACACGTGACTATGTGCTGAGATACATCTGCTTCTGCAGCAACAGGAGGGCTGCTGGCCATCTGACCAATCCCCACTCCTGAGGACCAGGGTAACAGGATGAAGCTCGGCTGTCTGGAGGTGCCCAGGCATGGCCACTCATCTCCACCTGCAGTCTTGGCTCATGGATGCAGTCAGGAACCAGCAGGACGGGATGAAGATATCTGAACATGGAGGTGGACAGCCTGCGGCAGGTCGAGTACTGGCACTGAACCGGGGCCTTTCCAGAGAGCCACATCCCAGCCCTTCTTCACTTTTGATCCCAGAGAGCAGGAATTACAGGCATGTGCCACTACACGCAATACAGACAGGTGCTTAGAACATAAAAGGAACACTAGATCAGAGGACGCTACACCACGCATTTGACAGGAACATGCATCTTTTGGTGAAAAACACCTGTGACTGTGAGCAGGGAACATGCTGGAAAGGCTGTGGGCAAGGAGAAGGGCCACAGGAAAGGTGCTGTCCCTGCACAGTGAGGAGCTGAGGCCTGCAGGACAGAGGAGGCCATGCAGCAGAACAGAAGAGGCCATGCAGCAGGACAGAAGAGGCCATGAAGCAGGACCGAGGAGGCCACGCAGCAGGACAGAGGAGGCCACGAAGCAGGACAGAGGAGGCCACGCAGCCGGACAGAGGAGGCCACGCAGCAGGACAGAGGAGGTCATGCAGCAGGACAGAAGAGGCCATGAACCAAGACAGAAGAGGCCATGAAGCAGGACAGAGGAGGCCATGAAACAGGACAGAGGAGACCATGAAGCAGGACAGAGGAGGCCACGCAGCAGGACCAACGAGGCCACGTAGCAGGACAGAAGAAGCCACGCAGTAGGACAGAGGAGGCTATGCAGCAGGAAGAGGAGGCCACGCAGCAGGAAGAGGAGGCCATGCAGCAGGACAGAGGATGCCACACAGCAGGACAGGCCTGCTAAGTGGAGCAGTGGCCAAGGCTTCTGCTCTCCAGGCCAAAAGCGGAGCTTGGCAGGATGCTGACAAGTCACCATTTGGGCCTTCCAAGAGTGTGTGTGGCCCAGGCTGAGAGGCTATTTTCATTTGGGGAAGCTAAGGCAAGAAGCAAGGCCAAGTGGGAGGCCCCAAGTTCAGAGATGCACATGAGTCTATAGCACTGTGACCATGAATCAAAA